ATACATATTTATTTTTTAATAAAATACAAAAAATTAAAAAATTTTTATTCAAAAAAAAATTTTTTTTTTAATCCATTTCTATTTGCACATGTGACTGACGTGTGAGAAGTCGGCCTCGCCGACGGCCTTGAACAGCCAGGTGACGCTGGCCGTAGCCATGACCTCTCCCCTCCTCTTGCATGAGATGCAGCCCAGCTTGAAGCCTCGGTTGGCCACCGCCTCCGTGTCCGAGTCCACCTCCACGCACGCGCCCGCGCACACGCCCGCTGGAGAGAAGACAACGTAAGACGATCTCCCGTCACGTGTTTGTACGTCACGTGACAAAATGATGGTGTTGCTGTGCTCTAAGGGGCTTTGGTTGGAGTCGTATCAGTTGGAACTGTCGCTCAAGTGCTGTGTCCTGTTTGGCATTGAGCACCCTTTAAACTCAAGCACAGGGCAAACTACAGTGGATAGAAAAAGTCGACACACCCCTGTTCCTATGCTAGTTTCGTGTGTGAATGAAAAATGCGACCAAGATAAATAATTCTAAAACCATAATTAATGTGACCTAAAACATGTAGAATTCCATTACATGTTTGTGCCCATCTTGCCACGCCTGAGATAATCTGCACACCCTCTTTTAACTGGGGAACCCGCTTTGTTCCGAAAGTTCAGATGTTCTCATAGGCTTTTCTTTTTGCCGACTGCTGTTTTAGTTACTCGTATACTTTGTTAGAGTTACTTTGTTGCATTACTTAACTACAGTTACTGAGTTACATCTGCGGTTCCATTTTTAGCTACTCAAAGTTACAAGTTTCTTATTTACAGTTAATTACAATTCCAGTTACCTTGAAAAAAATGATGCTACGATTTTGAGCACGTGTCATGTGTAATTCAATTTAGAATTTCCATTTTTAATTTTAATTTTAAACCATCATTACAATTCTTTAATTATATTTGAGGTAATTTTGTTGAAAAGCTGAGTTAAAATATATGACATGTTGTGCATTTTTTTATTTAACAAAACCATATTTGAAAAAAAATCTCTAATTCATTATCATTAGTGTAAATGCTATGTTGACTGACTTGTGTTAATTATGGGGAAGCCGCAGTAATCCACGCCAGATGTGCATGTTTATGCCAATCCTGATGTAAATCATTTTTATATGCCAAAAATAGAGGACACATCATTCATAATTTCTTAACGGGGAGAGCAAAACATCTAACTTTCAGTCAGTCAACATAAATAATCGCGATCAATTAGCCGCGCCGCGGGCAGCTCAATGTCAAAAACATTTTTTATGCTGATGCAACAAAATGACACAACCAGTGACTAACACAAACACACGGTTCGTGCACACCGCATCAAAAATGTCAACGTTACGTAATCTGTGACCTGACGAGTCGGAATTACGCAACCGATATTCCAGAATTTGCCGTGTGCTGGCTCACTAATCCTTTGAATTAAATCCTGTGTGACCTCAAACCACACAAAAGACACACAATCACTCGCGAGTGTATTTTTTTAAACAACCAATCGAGTGATGGATCTTACAATTCCTCCGGTGTTTTTTTTTTAATTAGTAATTTCCATATCTTGTGACTGTCATAGTCTATTTTCTCCACTAGATTGTCAGGCTGATGTGTTTGAGCCCTATGAAATCTGCCTAGCAACAAGTGGCCAATTAAACGTGACAACCAAATACATATTAGGGGGGAAAAGTTGGCTCCATGTGCTTGATTTTTTTTTTATTTTTATTATTATTAAAATCTAATACAGTGGTGCCCTGATTTATAGATTTAATTGGTTCTGTGGCTCACCGCCGCCCCCCCAAAAAAATTCTTGTGATATGTGTTTAGTGCGAAAAATATCTCCCTACAGTCTTGTACTTTGTAACGACAGATGATGTACACTTTCTTAGTCGTCTCCCCCCAACCCTCGCAAAAAATTGGCGAAACATTTCTTCTTATTTTACATTGCTTTTTTTTTTAATAATCACACAATATGAACATATTAATACAAAATGAACAGCTATTTTTTTTATATATATTTTAAAATGCTCCTGCAATGGTCTTTTTCTGCAAATTTTGTATTCGTTATTCTTTAGAATTTTGCACATTTTACAAAAAAAAAAAAGTCATTAACTTTGAAATCTGCCTAGCAACAAGACGCCCACCCGAGGTGGTGCGATGAGATTTACTTCTTCCAGTTTTTAATATTTTATTGTAATTAGTTAAAATGATGACGGCAATTAAAAAGAAAGAATACAAATAAAATAATTAAAAATAAATGTAACGGCCATGTTGGACCACACCGAAACCCCAAAACTTTGACATTTCGCTGGATTCCGAGTTAGCCTGAAACTTTCCACGAGGACAACAAGCCGTTTATTTGGCTCGCCTTTCCCGCCACAAAGTCGGCACTTTGCCGTCGGACAATGAATGAGACTGTGTGACAGTGACGCCATCGGTCGGGAGGGTGAAGCTTTGATTCCTGGGCCGTAGCGACGGATGGCTTAATTAGTGAGGTCACAAAGGTGGCCGACGTATTGTCTGCCATCAAATTGATCGCTTCATCCATCTGGCCGAGATGGTTTCTGTGTGAGCTGCATTCATAATGCGCCTTTGTCCTTGGACGGACGGACACACGCGCACACACACACACTCACACACTCACACACACACACACACACACACACACACAGAAGTAGTGCGTCATCCATGCTGATGGAACATAAAGGGCAACTGTACTTTTTTTTTTTTTGACTAGCTCTCCATCACACATATGGACAATTGAGCCTCTGAGAATTAGAGTGGGCTAAGTCCCTTATTTGCCATCTTTAAGCGAGTCCAGGAATGAATCGCGAAAAGGCATATCTTTCTCAGGAACACTGGTCCAAATCAAGGTTTAGTTCTATTTATGACATGTGCCGAGCAGTCCATCATTGTCGTGTGTGCTTTTCCTCATTCGTTAGCGCAACAATTGGCTAACTCCCATTTACAAAATGGCCTCCGAGTAAAAAACGTTCCAGAAATGGAGGTTCAGACATAACGCTCAGAAAATAAGGACAGTGGACTTGTTTCTGTTTCGAATGTGAAAATCAGCTAATTGCCGTGACCCCCCCACACACACACACACACACACACACCCACACACACACAAAATGACAACAAAAACTGTGAATAATGAATGGGAGGTGCCCCCAAAAATTATAACTACCAAAAGCTACGGGTTTTCACTGTCATGCTTTTGCTTGGGTGCCACTCCATTTGCGTGTTGTTATTGTAAGTGAATGTTATTTGTCATCTTTCATAAAATATGGATACATTTGACTTGGGCTGAACGATATGGCTAAAGAGTGTATCATGATATAATTATTTCATATCAGTCGATGGGGATAATAATTGATTTTTTCCCTTGCAATTCAAAATAGAAAAAAGGTTGAATTTAGCCAATTTTATTTCAACATATCATATTTTCCCTTCAATAATATTGATGTGTATTTTTGATTATAATGAATTTTAATTTTTCCCCATTTTGAATGACTTAAAATGAATATACAGTACATCCGTTTTATTTGACGTTTTTCCAAGTTCAGGATTTTATTTCAACATATCATATTTTCCCATCAATAATATTGATGTGTATTTTTGATGAAAATGAATTTTAATTTTTCCCCATTTTGAATGACTTAAAATGAATATACAGTACATCCGTTTTATTTGACGTTTTTCCAAGTTCAGATTGCTTGTGCCCTTTGCAGCCATCCATCACTGCACTTAATAAAATAGCTGCCGTTGACCGTTCTCGTCCTTCCGTCGCCGTCATTTATATTCGATGCACGTTCGCTGCCGCTATTGACTTTCTCACATCAAGTGCACACTTCCAGATTTAAAAGGCTTGCTATTTTTAATCAAGCCGCCGTCTTTTGAGCTGTCTTCCCAATTTCCTGCCTGATCCTCACTCGTGTCTCCAGATGTGCCGCAGTCAACACTGAACTCCATCCCAACCCTCTCTCGCCCAAAAACGACATCTGTGTAATGCATGTCATCATAAATGTTCTCGTTATAAGTATTGAAGTGACAAGGCTGAGTTCCTGTTCACTTTCATGCATTAGGCCTTGAGGCTTTTTCATGCATTCTGTCTCGATCGGCGTGTCAGTGCAATTTCAAACGCCGGTGGGCGAAATTGGTGTGAACGGCTAATTTTGGCAAACCTTCCAAGATCCTCAAAAGAGATCATCAAACATCAACACTGTGCCTCACCTACATTTGATGGTGTGAGCAAAACCGACAACTCAGCAACTTTGCATCATCTGCCGATTTCGGACAACTGCTTCCAACGACTCGTACAGTTTTGAGCATCGGTCCTTGAGACTTTTTCGTGTATCCTGTTATAATAGAAATGTCCACCAAATTATATGTTAATCATTGAAAGTGATGTTGGGTTTTTTTGTTGTTGTTGTTTTTGTTGTTGTTGTTTTTTTGTGGGGAACTTTTCCGGGAGTGCAACTGAGTTTTTTTTTTTTTTCCCGTATTAATTCACCTTGAGAAAAAAAATTAATCAGCCCTGGACAACAGTTTCACCAATCAACATAATTTTTGGCGGACATGCTGATCATAATAGAATGCACAAAAAAATCCATGCCACCCATACTTAAAGTTGAACAGAATGTCGGCCATTTTGGTTTGAGGCAGTCACTATGGGCGAATTCCCTTGTTAAAAAAAAAAAAAAAAAATCACCTCCAAACAATAGTTCTACCACTCGATCAATCACCATGAAATTTGGCGGACGTTTCTTCACTAACAAGACACACAAAAACATCTCCAGGAACCATGCCTGGGTGAATATTCGTATTAATTCACCTTGAGAAAAAAAAAATTAGCCCTGGACAACAGTTTCACCAATCAACATGATTTTTGGCAGACATGCTGATCATAATAGAATGCACAAAAAAATCCATGCCACCCATGCTTAAAGTTGAACAGAAAGTCGGCCATTTTGGTTTGAAGCAGTCACTATGGGCGAATTCCCTTGTTAAAAAAAAAAAAAATCAACCCCAAACAATAGTTCTACCATTCGATAAATCACCATGAAATTTGGCGGATGTTTCTTCACGAACAAGACACACAAAAACATCTCCAGGAACCATGCCTGAAATTGAACAGGTTGATTCCATCCCAAAACCATTTTGGTTTAAAGTGGCTATTAAGGGTAAATTTCACCATTAAATCTGTCCATGGAAGTTTCGAAAAGAAATGAAAAATCAGCCCAAAAACAAAGTTTCACGATTAACACAAAATTTTCCTACTAGGGAATTCATTCAAATGAAACCCAATCAGAAGCAGAGATACTAGATAGATACTAAATGGTGAAATAGAGTTTGTTATGCTTAATGTCGGCCTAGATAAGTAATTTTCTATGTTTCTGGGAAGGTTAAAAAAAAAAAAAGCCTTTGACATGAGCTCAACAGATTAAAACGAAATTGAACGGCTCATAACGATCACAGGAAAAATTCTCCGTGTCCCGTGCTTGAAGTTGCAAATGATGTCGAACATTTTAGGTAGAATCAGCCATTTGCCAAAACGTCTCAAGAACTAAACTGTACATACAACAAGCTGGAGCCAAAGTGATACTTTTATATTAGACACGACTTTGGCCTGAGCACAAAAACACAAAAAAGTTAAAAAATTTTTTAAATCATCAAATTTTCCAATTCCATACAGTCAATACACCCTGCGGTGTTACCACGGTAACAGAGAAAAAGTTTCAAAAAAAATTTAAATCATCAAATTTTCCAATTCCATATAGTCAATACACCCTGCGGTGTTACCACGGTAACAGAAACCATAAGCTACTTACCTTGAAGAGCCATGAGGAGGACCAACACAATTAACATCAGGGGGGCCTCTGCCAAGGGAGACATTTTTCCACAGGCGAACCTGTAAGATATGTCCCCAAAAAGTGACCAAGAACAAGAACCGGGCGTTGCGACTCTTGGATGTGATGCACCGCACCAAAGAAGAAAAAGTAGGAGGCACAAAAGGAGGATTTCACTGATTACAGCTGCAGTGTCCAGTTACAGAAGAAGAATCAGTCGCAGTGTCGCCTTTCAACCTCTCTTCAATTATTTATCGTGGACCTCTTGCGATTTTCTTTTTCTTCTATTTCCTTCTTTGGCTTTATCCCACAAGGACCATGGCTGTTGTTGACAAAAAGCATCTTGTTAAGTTGAACGGAACCTCTGGGTCCATGTTGTCCAGACAAATGTGCAGATTTAAAACTTGGGTTCAAGTGTAATTGACACCCATCTCTGAAAAGGTTTGTGATTGTCTGAGTACAAAACGGTGATTAACAAGAGGGTAGGTCCCCCGAAAATCCACAAATGGGTGAGTCCACCAAGACGGTAAAACGTTTATTGCTTTGGCTTCAGCATAAAAACTGCAAATATTAAATTTTTCATGAAATCACCGAGGGTAAGGTCCTCTTCAAAAATCTGTGAATAGCTGAATCCACCAAAATGGCACAAGATGGGGCACACGCTGACCACAACAATAGCAAATAGGTAAGTTTTCAGCACATGTCCTTTGCAAGTTCAACGGGGGTCTTCTTTCACCTTTTCTTGCCAAACAAATATTGGTATCACCTGAGCGCAAAATCGGCGAATAACAGAGAATAGGTTTACCCCCAAAAAATCTGTGGATTGGCCTGAATTTGTCACACACACACACACAAAAAGACTCGAAGCACAAATCAGCGAATAGGTGAGTTTTTCAGTGAATCACCCCCCCCCGCCCCCCACCAAAAAAAAATATGCCTACAAATTTGAAAAAGCAAAGGGTCGCTCCTCAGTTTCAGGAAAATGAAACAAGTGTCGTGAAAGTCAGACAAATGTCTCCAAATAACTCAAACCAAATTGAAATGCTGTTTTAAAGGCAAGTCAATGCACCTTGCTGTCAAAATATCCTCTATTGAGAAGGGAAATTCTCACTTGCAATGATCCAGAGGTGGTCCCATCCCGTCCATGTTATTGAATGCCGGGGATTCCCACTCGGCAGCTATGCGCCGCAACATCGGAAGGCTTTCAAATGCATGTCAGTTTAAAAAAAAAAAAAAAGAGAAGACGGCAGGCAGGAGAGGACAGGAAAGATCTGGAGGCTCGCAAGCGGACATGACGTGACCGTGTGGAGGGTTGCTCTGCTGATCAGTCTTTGGGATAGGGGGAGGATGAGGGAGGTCGGGTGCGGATGATGTGATGCAACATAGAGGTGGACGATCATGACGGAGAGGTATCACGGCGTTGTCATAGCAACGTGGATTTGCATGTGGCGGCCGTCTCCCGATTTCCATTTGTTTTTTGGTGACTTAACTTCATAAACACATTTTTATTGATACATTTGCAGCAACTTTTAAGTACTCGGAGAAAGCCTGAATGTGTGTGTGCGTGTGTTTTTTTTTTCACAATTAAATCTGTCCTTTAACGTTGAGCATTTTTAAGATCTTACCTTCACGTCCTCTTTTTTTGTGTCTGTAATGTCAGATACTACTGTACTTATTATTTTGTCACCCCGCCCCCTCCCGAATAAAATTGAAAATTGGCCGATTGCATTTAGTCCAAACATCTCTCGATCTTAACGATAATTACAATTGACATATGAATTTTAAAAGTCCATCAGCTGCCCCAATTATGTTTTGTTGCGTATTTTTGTTGACCTATACAAAACCTCATTACCCACAATCCCCTATGACGTTGCCATATGACGTCACCACGCCAACCCGCTGGCAGAATCCAACATGGACGATACCATGACTGTTGAAAAGAGCCCGGTATGATTTCGCCACTTTTGTTTCTTGATTTGTGCTTACATTAACATAGTTTCGGCAGCTTTATAACATACATTTAAGCGTTTAATAGGCGATGACCGTTTGTGTTCTCTAAACTATCTCTGTTGCCTCATAGCCTGTTAATAATTTGCAAAACGTAAAGCTGCCAATTCATTCTGGCCGATCGTACTGTCACGCAAGTTAGCCGCTAGCGTTAGCATGGTGCTAACAGACCATTCTGCTTTCATAAACTTTCACGAATACAATGATCACAACTTGCGGTTAATCGCGTTGCGAGTGTATTTGTTGGTTGGTGAATCGAAAAAATAGAATGTGTTCATTTTCCACGCTGTCAAATGGGAATTGCTATCAGCTAGCTAAGCGAGTCTTCGCCTGGTTCAGCTTGTTACCTTGGACATAAATGTTTATTTAACATCAAGATCTGCAATTGATCATTTTAATTAATACTTATCAGAGTTGGAGCTGGGGGCTATGGCTTTTCGATTATGCAATATTTATCCCCTCTCAGAGAAAACCAATGACAATGTCATGATTTTAAACAAGTTTTGTTGTTTGTTTTGTTTCTCTCCTAGTGGGGTTTGGTTTTGCAGCAATCCACACGAAATAAATATTTTTGTCTTGATGACCAATTTATGTGAATATAAGTGCTTCCTCTTGGAAAAATGTATATTTTCTCAAAATACATGGAAACAGGTTCCTTAATAAATGAGCATACTAAATATTCAGCAATTTGGCAGCATGCTGGACAGTGTTCAGCACATCTGCTTCACACGTCTGAGTTTCACTGTTTCTGCGTGGCTCTGGCCTACCTGTGTGGAGTTTACAGATTTCCCCCTCAAGTACTCTGACTTCCTTTCTCCCACATTTAGAGAAACCATCCATGTTGGGTTTCTTCAAGACTCTAAATTGTGCGCAGGAGTGAGTGACGATCGTTGTCGTACTTCGCCTCTCAACCAATGTCAGCTGGTATAGTCTCCAGCTCAAACTTGACCCCACTGAAGTCAAGCGCCATAGAAAATGGATGGATGGAAAATGTGTTTATTTGTTTGCCTGCGTCTTTTTCCATTGATAGGAGGAAATGCCTGCGATCTTGAACTCCCGACCACAGACCGGCCTGTCCTTCCTGGCACCAGAACCAGAGGACCTGGAGGACCTTTACAGCAGATACAAGGTCAGAGAAGTCATCAATCTTAGGCAGGTCCAAGTGCCCAATTCTGATTTAATATTCTTGGCCAAGCTCGAATTTGACCCGTAAAATACTACACATGGAATGGAAAATGAACAGTTGGTGTAGGTTAAACATAAAAAGTCATCTCTTTCTCGTGGGTCTTCACTCATTGCTGTGTTTACAGAAGCTGCAGCAGGAGCTGGAGTTCCTGGAGGTGCAAGAGGAGTACATCAAGGATGAGCAGAAGAACCTGAAGAAGGAGTTCCTCCACGCGCAGGAGGAGGTGAAGAGGATACAGAGCATCCCGCTCGTCATCGGCCAATTCCTGGAAGCCGTCGACCAGAACACGGCCATTGTTGGCTCCACTACAGGTAGAACGCAAAGGAGCAATCTCTGCAGAAAGACAGAATAGAAAAAGAAAAGCACACGCTACTTTGACAGGGTTCCTCCTCGCTCAAACTTTTCCCATTTTAAAAAGTGGCTGGAAAAAAAACACTTTTTTGGTCAAGTGTTTTATATACATTTTGATTCTAAAAGAAGATGTGTGTTAAAAATAAATGAAGTCAACCGCTGTTGCACACATTCTATGTATGTATTATTTATCACAACACACATCTTTTGAGAGACACCTAAAGCATGAATACATTTAAATTATATATTATGTGAGCCGTGGTTTAAATGTGTCATGAGTTCTTTCCACCACCATCATGTCGGTTGGTCTTTTGCTCACATCTTGTCCCTGTCGCCATCCAATCCCCTTGTCCCCTGTAGGGTCAAACTACTACGTGCGCATCCTGAGTACCATCGACCGGGAGTTGTTGAAACCCAACGCTTCGGTAGCACTGCACAAACACAGCAACGCCCTTGTAGACGTACTGCCCCCGGAAGCCGATAGCAGCATCATGATGCTCACCTCAGGTATTGGAACCACTCGCATCCGCGTTACTGGGGTGTACCTTGGAGGATAACAATTTCTAGCCAAAAGCTACCAAAGCTGTCTACATCTTCACTCAGAGGTCAAGGGTTACGAGTGGACGGGAATTAGTTGCATGTTACCTGTCACAAAATGATCAAATCAACTTTTTTTTTCCCTTCGGAAAGTTGAAGTTGGTCAACAGTTGCTTTGGTTAAGAGGTCTATCAACCTCCGTGAATGGGAGCAAAAATAGGAAAATAAATAAAACCAGCAATGTTGTTACAAGCGATCATCTGCAACAGGAAGTATAAACCTGACAAATTAAAAATAGCCACGTGGCTACAGGGTTGTGAAACCGTAAGAGTCGTATGGTCAAAGCAATCATCTTCAGCAGGAAATAGAAACCTGCCCAAATTAAGCTTGATGTGTGGTTATGAACGCACGTCTCCAGCTGTTAGTAGAGACCTTCTAAAAATAGAAAACAGCTGCCTGGCTATAAGTGATCATCTCCAACAGCTCTGTTTCTTTCACCAGGAAGTAAAAACCTCCCAAAATACCATGAGCTATGCAGCTCAAAGCAATCGTCTACAACAGCAAGTAGAAACATACCAAAATAAAGTCTGGTGAGTGGCCAAGAGCAAGCAGAAGCCTACCAAAATAAAATCAGATCCACAGCAACAGGGAATGTAAACCTTTCCATGTAAACACAGCGACTGGTGATGGTCTCTGACTGGAAGTAGAAACTTTCCAAAGAAAAACCAAAGCAGGGATGTAGTCTTTCCAAGGGGAAGTGCAAATGTACGTAAATGAAACCAAGGACATGACCACAAGCTCTTGACTCCAATTGAAAGAAAAACAAACAAACAAACAAAAAAAGTGGTTATGTTTCACAGGAAGTAGACACCTTTCAAAATAAAACCAGCTGTGCATTATCAAGTAGTCGTCTCCAACGATTAAACAGAAACCTTCTAAAGCAAGAAGTAGAAACCTACCAAAATAAAAGCAGCCATATGGGCTTCAAGCCAATATCTCCAACAGGAAGTAGAAACCTACCATGATAAAACCTGCCAATAGGCAACAGGCAGCGGCTGATTTGTCCTTTTTCTTGTGTTTGCGCCTACTGTAGACCAGAAACCTGACGTGATGTATGCCGACATAGGAGGCATGGACATCCAGAAGCAGGAAGTCAGGGAGGCGGTGGAGCTTCCACTCACACACTTTGAGCTTTATAAGCAGGTCTCTCTCACGCATAGACACACACACACACACACACACACACACACACACACACACATCTCAACCAGCCCGATATTCTCCTGCAATGTCAAGAAACCAACCAAATATTTTGTGTCTGTCAGATTGGCATTGACCCACCCAGAGGAGTCCTCATGTACGGACCTCCCGGATGCGGCAAGACCATGTTGGCTAAAGCTGTGGCACACCATACAACAGGTGGGCCCGCGCATGATGTCGACATTAAAATGAGCCTCTGAAGCAGTGGTTGTTGAACTTTTTACGCCAAGTACCACCCCCGTGTCTTGAAAGCAGTTGTCTGTTTTATAGTGCGTCTCTGTGTTAAGTGCACAGTTTGAATAATAACTTGCCTTTGCCAGGTCCAGGACGCGGAATAATGATTGATGGTGTGTTTTATTTCAGTTTCTATGTTAATCTTGTCCTCTCACCTCCCCCCGCAGCGGCGTTCATCCGCGTGGTAGGCTCTGAGTTTGTCCAGAAGTATCTGGGTGAGGGCCCCCGCATGGTGCGCGACGTCTTCCGGCTGGCGAAGGAGAACGCGCCCGCCATCATCTTCATCGACGAGATCGACGCCATCGCCACCAAGCGATTTGATGCACAGACCGGAGGTACGATGATAGAAATGTCAATTGTGGTGGTCATCCGGTACCAAATGGCCCAACGGCACGGCGCCTGTCCGTGACCAGCTAGTTGTCGACAAACCTCATCTTGTCGTTTTTTTCGTCTGCAGCTGACCGAGAAGTGCAGAGAATTTTACTGGAGCTGCTTAATCAGATGGACGGTTTTGACCAGAACGTCAACGTCAAGGTGAGCCAAATTCTCCTTCCCGGCCAACCTCCTCCACGTGCACAGTCTGAAGCTTTGAACTTATTCACCCGTGGCTGAACCATCCATGTCCCCCTCCTGGCGTCATCTGTGATTACATCATTATGCGCGCTTCATGAACAGTCTTTTCTCATTCAAATTTATTAGAGGACATTTAGACCACAAGCTGTAGCTGAGCTGCATCACTGTGAGCATCTTGCTATCAGTGTGACTAGCACATTTTCACACTCTGCTTTTGTTTTGTTTACGTTCTCCACTGGTTAACCTCACTAAAATTGGCACCATTCTGCCCCCCCCCCACCCCACAATTGTTAATATTAAATTCTATCTAGCACGTAACTCTCTCGTTTTAAACACCAAGTGCCTTGTTCTCCACCATCAATACTCCCTCTTGTTAAACAAATGGACTTCAAATGCACAACCCCATTCTCATATACCGTGTTTGTCTCCTCGCTATCCTAGGTGATCATGGCCACCAACAGAGCAGATACGCTGGACCCGGCCCTGCTGCGTCCTGGCCGCCTGGACCGGAAGATCGAGTTCCCACTACCCGACCGCCGGCAAAAGCGTCTCATCTTCTCCACCATCACCAGCAAAATGAACCTCTCAGAGGAGGTGGACCTCGAGGACTGTATCCCTTTTTCTGGCATGTTTATACACTTCTTATCCATCCATGCTTTTTCTAATCATCTTATCCTCACGAGGGTGCCGGAGCCTATCCCAGCTGGCTTTGGGTAGTAGGCGGGGTCCACCCTGAACTGGCTGCCAGCCAATCGCAGGGCATACATTGACAAAACAACCATCCGCGCTCACGCTCACACCTAGGGACAATTTAGAGCAGGGGTGTCAAACTCATTTTTGTCGAGGGCCACATTGTAGTCACGGTTTCCTTTGGAGGGCCGTTATGAATTTTGGGAAACCATATAAATGTTTAATCACCTCCACATATTGCATGCACAGCGCACAACAAATTGATGGATAACTAGTTTTAAAATCAGAAGTCAATAATAATTACTGTTATTGTGGATCACATATGACAATTTTGAAATTTTGGTTCAGACTTCAGCAAGCATCATGGAACTTGACATGCTTGATTTGCTATCACGGGCCACATAAAATGAAGTGGCGGGCCAGGTCTGGCCCCCGGGCCTTGACTTTGACACCTGTGATTTAGAGTGTTCAGTCAGCATGCCGTGCATGTTTTTGCAATGTGGGAGGAAACCAGAGTACCCGGAGAAACCCCACACAGGCACAGAGGGGAGAACATCCAAACTCCACACAGGAAGGCCATAGCTGGAGTCAAACCCTCCACCTCTGCACTGTGAGGCCGACGTGCTCACCAGTCGACCACCGGGCCGTCGGCACTTCTTATACCTTGCAAAATTTCGAATGTGATTCCTCTGACAATTATTTGTCGCGGAGTTCAGCATTTTTCAGGAAAAACTGTTTCTCATCAGTCCAAAAAAAATCTTGGGAGTGTTGACGCTTTGATTAATATTCGTTGACATAAACACAAGATGTCGGCCAACTGCCACAAGAGAGGAAGTGTGTGATGACCACTGAACAGGATGTGGAGCTTTGTTGTGCGTCTGGTTCCTCCACAGTTGTGTTGACACACTTCAGGAGAAAAAAAAACTCACTTGAGGTCGTTAGTTGGAAGAAATCTACCCCAAATGTTGACTCATTGTGCTAGGACATATGCCACCGAAGTGGATAGTGTTTGTCTATAAGTCATATTGTAAAAGGAAAAATATATATATATACACTAATTTAAACTGCTCAATAGTATGAGAACCAATCCTCCCCAAATATTGACCCGCGATCATATGGCATGGGTCAGTGAACTGGATCAAAGCAGCGGTGTTGCCGTGTTATGTAAATAAGCTTGCTAGCCACCTTAACCGGTTCTACAGACGTGGCCCGACCAGACAAGATCTCTGGAGCCGACATCAACTCCATCTGCCAGGAGGTGAGTGGCCGAACCACCTGATCAACATGGGAAAATATAAACCTAAGACACACACCTGATATTAATACCGATTTCCTTGTTCCCCGTTTTAAGGCCGGCATGTTGGCTGTCCGCGAGAACCGCTACATCGTCCTGGCCAAAGACTTTGAGAAGGCCTACAAGACGGTCATCAAAAAGGATGAGCAGGAGCACGAGTTCTATAAGTAGAGAGGATGGAAAAACCTTTGAGTCTGTAGCTACCATGTGTCATTTGCATTTTTGATCTATCTCGAACTGAACAAAGTCACCACAGCATAAGGCCTAATAATAAGATTCATGTGCCCATGTAAGTGTGTTGCTTTTTTTTTTTTTTTGTACAGGCACTCGTTGAGAAAAAAGATCAGGCTTTATCAATATTATCCAAGCATATGACTTAAATATCCATTAAAGATGTTTTCCATAAAATGTGAACATGACTCAATCTGTTTTTAATTGATTTGAGTTCATGCTTTGTAATTTTGCTGCTAACTCATTTTTTGCTTTTTAAAACTGAAGAAGCCAGTCCTAAGGGGTCAATAACACAGCTGTTTATTGTGTTCACGATATTAAAGACAAATCAAAAGGAACTAATTTCCAACAGGTCAAAGGCAAGAAATCCATCTCGCATTTTGATATACGGTCTGTTGATTCAGATTTTCAAATTTGAGTTGATTCCATTCTTGAAGGCCTGTTTCTCTTCACGATTTGCTTTAATTCACAGGTGTCAAACTGAAGGCCTCGGGGCCAGATCAGACCTTCTTTTCAGTCATGCCATGATTGGCTGTTGCAGATAAGACTGACCATGAAAAAAAACAAGAATGACATCATTTTCTTTATGCAGTATTTTTAATGTTTTAATTCAACTCAACATTAGTATTGCACAACACAAAAATAGCTATGGTGACGAAATAACAATAACTTTAAGAAATCCTTGCCTCAAATCGGGGGCATAAAAATCTTGGTGGGCGGGCACCGAGAGACAGAGAAAACGGTCCGTTTTCTTCACCGGCTGGATTGATCGTTAGTCAAATAGGTGTCCGTTGGTACTTTATGTTCTCTGACTGTACATTAGGGGGCAGTGTTACTAAACTATAAATATCCTGTTGAGATGGAAAAAGGAAGGTCCCGTAAAAGTGACTGAGTCGTAGGAATTCGTGTTGTGGTGTAAATAACCTGTTAAGAAAATACAGTGTTTGGCTACATTCTGACCTTGTTACTTTGCCTCCCGACACCACACACTTAACCCGGGTAGGGACGAAGAGACCGTCAAAAACCCACTTACAGCCTTGTTTAGTTAGTCCTTGGTCCATCTCGTCCACCGCCCCCAAAATGAGCGTCCTTACAGGACGGGCGTATGGACCTTGCCGTCCCAGGGACGAAATGCCCATCTCTGGTATTTGACAGACAAAATAATTTTACTCCACATTGGCAGCTCCACACTTCCGTACCATAGTGATGGTACGTGGAGCGCTGAATTGGATTAAAGTTCAATGTACTATAGTACAGCACAGAAGTTATACTATGATTTTTAAACTTTTCTTGCGTTTTCAAAGTCAGCTTTTCCCACGTGAAAATTGCTCTTGAACTCCACACGGAAACACCCAATAAATTCGAATTGGACATTTTATTCCTGACTTATTTTCGATTCACAACACCTAAATTACAGTTCGTTTCACCTAAATTTTCACTTTACATTGTTAGATATTTTATTATCCACAAGTGTATTCAGTAGTGAAAAACATAAGCAATATCACGTATGAGGATGTGTGATTAAAGGGGGAGGAGAAACCAAGCAGGCGACCCTCCAGCCGCCGCTCCTCATCACCATTATCTAGCCCAGTCAGTGCGAGTGTGTGGCGGTCACACGGACTGCGCTCGCTTGGTCCTTTACAACTTCTAAAGCTTATCACCAGCACGCAGCGACCTCATTTTTCTTGAAAATATCCATCATCCGTTGTCCATGGACCCCTGCGGGGAGCCTGTCGACCGACCTCCGAGGTAAGCATTTGAAGTGAGAATTGTGACGCTTGTCGGGCGGGGAGGAACAGCTGCTAGTTTAGCTTAGCTTTAGGTACATGCTAACTCCGCGACGGCGCGACGCGGCTCTCCGCAGCTGGAATCCGGAGGGGCGGTTGTGTTTTTGTTACCGCTTGTCTTTACTTGACTTAGTCCATTTTCCTCAAATAAACGTATACATTAAGCACGAATGCGAACGAGGAACTCCAAAACCTGTTTTAGCGTGACGGCGTTTTTAAAAACTCTATGAATTATGTTTAAAAAAAGTGGCACGTGCATTATTTTTAGTATCGAAGCTAGAGGACATTAGCCAAACTTTTGTTCAGATTTTATTTGTTTGTATGATGAACCGCCAAATAAAAGTGTCCGTGGTTTTATTTGAACGTATTAAGTTTTCGAGAAAGAGTTTTTAAGTAGGAGTTGGTCAAACTTGGTGGTTTAAAAATGGTTGCTGGTTGTCTGTCTTCTATTGTTAAGTCCTTATTTGCATTCAATGGCTTCTTCGGCACAAAAAAACATCCACAGGTCACAGAAATCGCCCACACACCAGGTAGTACAAGAAATACCCCTTTTTTAATGATTAATTTTAGATGGCAAGAGTGTCCATAAACTTTCATAGCTGATGTCATACTTGTTCAGACTTTGTTCAAGTTAAGTCAAGTACAACTTTATTGTCAAATGCGCTGTATGTGCAACATACAGCACAGGTGAAATTTCTTCCCTGGCATCTGACAGTAACGTGAATAAAATATTGACATTTGTCAATTTGACTCTGTCGCTTTCAAGTGATCTGTTGTTGTGTCTGTTGCTTGATCCTGTATGACCATAAAAAAATGTCCAAATGTTTCTTCAAACATTGGTTTGTATTTTCTGTTTGTGCTTTGTGTTGTTGTGGTACCTCCCGGAGTCATCCGTCATCCCCATGGTTGTTGTTGCGAACTGTGCAAGCCGCTGCAGTTTTTGTGTTCTCGTGTGGTCTGTCTCGTTGGATGGGACCCCTCCAGAGACCGTGGTGTACCAGCTGCGCCCATAATGAATCGGCCGGGCTCAGGATGGGTTGCCATGGCTGGGATGCCGGCACGCGTTTGTTCTGCCATCCTGCTTCAGCACCCCCAGCTCGTGTTTGCATGTCGCACGCACTTTGAATGTGAATTTGCCTTTTACTCTATTGTGTCTCGAAGGGTTTCCGTATTTGTCCAGTGTTCTCCTGCAATTCAAAGCAAGGGAGTGGAGGGGGTGTGGGGGGGCTGTTGTGTAAGAACTGTTTGCTCAACGCTCCTACGAGATTAGCAGTTGCTTTAAAACACAAAAGAGCCATACTGAAAACAACTAAAATTCGAATTACACTGTAAGATTAACGGTGTAATCTGATGAGAAAAATGTGAATTTTATTCAAGATCCAATAAAAAAGTGAAAAACATTTTTTGATATTTTAATCATTTTTTTAGTTTAAAAAGTCCTACATTTTGGAAATAAGTCACTATTTTAGAAACTAAAGTTGTAATTTGAAAAAGATTTTATATTTATATATAATACAGAATTTATTTTTTTTGGAGGGGGGTTAGTGCTTGATTCATATTCCACAAACGCAGTATTAATTTAATCAGAATGCGGTGGTTAGACTCGTGGAGGCGCATAGAACATTTTCCTATAAAGAAAATGTTGGGTTTGACTTCCCCTGAAAGGTCACATGGGCGTGTGGCAAACCAAGCGAACTTGTTTCCATCTGGAGCTTGGATGTGATTTTATGTGTGCAGCTAATCTATGCGATCGGAATATGTCGGGCGATCTCACTTATGGATAATCGGAATCTGCAGCGTTAAAAAACCCTGATCGGAACATCCTTAGCATACAGTATATCATAATTTAAAATTCCTTTCAGGAAGAGTTGTATGTTTTCAAGATAAAAATTGTATATTCGAGACTCGAAGTTGTATATTTTAAAGATTAAAAGGCTGTTGCGAGAATAGTTGTGTATTTAAAAAGTGGTCCCCAGAGTGAGTGCTATGCGTTCTGCCAACCCTTTGGAGATGTGAATAGCGACGCTGACCCTTGAGCTCTTGTCCCTATACGAAGATCTATATTTAACCCAAGCGCCCCTCTCACGTCCACTCATGTGTGCAAGTATGCATGCGGACATCGATTTACGGCATAGAATTTTAATGACCCGTAGGCATGAAGAAAAAGCTTGCTGGCAGCCATGTGTCGTGACTTAAGAGCGTGTCGTCCTCAAGTATGTCTGACACGAGAGGCGAGGGCGGAGCATTTGTTGGAAGTCATGCCGGCGCATTGTTTCGGTTTAGTAGAAATGAAAATGGGAGCAGGAAGGACAATGAAGCCAAAAGAACATAGTGTAACTAATTGGCTTCTCTACCCCCTCGTCTGACTTCCAAAGTCTTCTGTTAAATGCTTGAGCGCATTGTTTTTTTTCTTTTGGGATTACATTTTTGGGTAGTTGGATAAATACAAAGTTTTGAAATCACTGAATAATCATGCCTCATCTTCCATTATGACCGATACTGCAATTTTGCCGCCTGTAAATTGAGGTGGTGGGGGGGGGGGGTCTTTAGTTGAAGCGTCTGACGAGTTGCGTTGTGATGGTGCCTCCTTTTAACGAGTGCAAATTATTGACTCTTTGGCAACAGCCACTAAGGCATCATCCACCAAGTGACAAGCAGGATGGTCGAGGGTTGATCATCTGGAGCAATTGTGATTAGTCAGGCCTCTCCGGTCAACTGTGCTGTGCAGCCCCCCGTGTAAACAAACACAATCCGTTTGTTGGGCCGATCCACAATTGTCCATTGTGAGCCGGTAAAAATATTCTTCTGCAGGTTTCAAAAAAAAAAAAAAAGGCTGACTTCAACAGTTTAGCTTAAGGTACTAAAAATGACATTTGACACACACTGCAGTTGGAGGGGGGGGGGGGGGGAGCACTGAAACCATTTCACAGCTGGAGGCGTTGACCACAAAAGAAAGAAGGGTGGGGGTGGAATTGCATTAAAAATGCTGTTGATAACAATTTTCAAGAGGTCAAATGTCGGCACTTGATGGTGTCAGATCCTGATAACAGTTAGCAAAAATCTATTGGATAACTCTGTATTCAAAGCACTTCATCAGGTACGTAATTGCACGAAAAAAAAGACATTAAACAATTGCATTTTTGTCCAAATCCAGAGTTAGTGGAACGGTAAAAGAACTTTTTTTTCTCAGAAAATGAGTACCTACTTGTCTTGTTTTTCTCCTTTTTGTGAAGTAACAGAGTAGAAACCAACAACCTGATGTTAGCCGTTTATCTGCCTCAGTGGCGTGAGTCTTGAGTATTTATTTCACCGATTGCAGACGTGCTAACTCCTGTAGCTGGTTGCGCAAACATCTTCGAGTCAATGAAACCTTCTTCGTGCAACCCACTATAAGTATGACTGACTGTAAACAGGCCTGAATGAATTCATCAAATTAAAATCGACGTCACACTGTAGTAGAACGCAATTTTGAAATCGCCCAAGGCTGCAATTTGGAGGGAAAATAAACACAGCTGCTCTATTTCGATCGCTCGGTAGGCTTTATTTGTAATGTGTCCTCGCCATTAGATCTTTCAGTCCTATTTGCAACTGAAACGTCTTACTATTTGTGTGTGTGTGTGTGTGTGTGTGTGTGTGTGTGTGTGTGTTTTGTTTTACAGCTCGTGGCATTGAGTGACCCGGTACCTGTCCACCCAGTAGGACCGGTTGCCGATAGTCCACTGCAGTCTGCCACTATGGAAGAATAGCAAAGGGAATCTCTCCTTCTTCACAGAAACCGTTGTACCTGTGCCCCCCCCCCCTCCCCCAAAACTAACACACAGACAAATCCCACCCCCTTGCTGTCTCCTTTGCCAGTCAGGCGGCGAGGTGGGCAGCGGCCTTGTCATCCTGCTAAAAGCGTTGTGGCTGCATACGCTCGCCCCTTTTGTCATGGAGACTGCTGCTGTTGTTGTTGTTACCGTAGAGTCTCTCAGGCACAGGGAAAAGCAGGAGGCGGTGTGAAGTTTGCAAAAAAAGACAGGAAGACGTCCGCCGGACCTGCGGAAGGACATGAAATTCAGCAGGGGGGTGAAAAGCACGCCATGCGGCACCAGCGTCGCCCCCTTTCGCCAGTCAGAGATTGGACCAAAAGCCAGGTTTTGAAATATTTGGAACAAACTTAATCTGCAGCGAGGAATGAATTGAGCAATGGAAGACTGATTTTTTTTTTTTTTTTTTTGTCCTCCTCCCTTTTTGGAAGAACTTTACTCTTGGTCTGTTTGGTGGTGGTCTCCCGGAGTGAAAGCCCACCAAAAGTGCCTTTTTTACGTTGCGTTAGATTTGTGAATATTTTTTGATTTGACTTCGGGGTGGATGCCGACATGACCAACAAATAGCGGAAAATCCACCGCTTCCTTGCGATAGGGCGCAGACTTTCACACGTTGCCTTGCTTCCCGTACCACCATGATCTCACTGCAGTCCAAATGGCGTTACCTGTTCATGTTCCTGGGCATCCAGCTGGTGGTCATGGCGTTGCTGTCCCGGGAGGGCTACCAGAAGAGGGTCTCCTACTTCATACGCATCTTCCGCAAGTCGGACCCCGCCGGCGCGCAGGCTCAGAACCGCACGGCCACAGACGTGCCCGTCGGCAACGTGTACGCCAACCTCTCTCGCCTGTCTAAGGCGGAGACCGATGGAGGAGATATCTTCTACTGTCCCAAGACGTCGCCTCTCTTAGGTGAGTGGCGAAGACGAAGACTTTGAAACACAACAAACCTTTTGGTGTGTTGTGTTTCAACTCAAACTGCCTCTTTGGACACCAGTGACATTGTGTTATCTAGCTTCAATAACCCTTTGTCAAAAAAAAAAAAAGATTGCAGTATGCATTCAATCTTGAAGTGAAAATCACGCCAGATTATGTCACTGAAGGAAGTCCCCAAATTTAGTGGTGTTTATAAACAGCCTAGATCAGGGGCGTGAAACTCATATCAATCGCGGGGCCAATTTGGGGTTCCGTCTTCCCTCGGAGGGCCGTTATGACAGTGAAACCACAAAATTATTACTTGTGCGTAACCTATTAATAGAATGCTAATTTTGAAATCAGTCAAATCAATTATAATAGTTTGCTCAAGTGAGTGTAAACTGGGTAACAAAATGATTGCACAGTCTCAGCGTTATTTATTACACGTGACTAATTGACATTTTGCGACAGATTTTAGCAAGATGATACACATGGTTTGCTTTCGCGGGCCACATAAAATGACCTGGCGGGCCGGATCTGGCCCCGGGGCCTTGAGTTTGACACCCGTGGCCTAGCATATAAATGTTCTTTTGACATTAGAACATAGTTAAATATGTCGAGGAAAAAAAAATTGATTGGGTTAAAAATATACTTAAGTCAACAAAGACCGACTTTTTTTAACAATATCTATTAAAACAAGTAGTCCCTTTATGTTAAGTCAAGACTCGTTGTTTTGTTTTGTTTTTAAATACAAATGATCAAAAATGTGCATTTTTGCAAGTTACTGGAGTGAGATTCCCCAGGCTGGCAAAGAATGCCTCATTCCCAAATTTGGTTCCTCTCTCGAAACTAAACACCTGCTTCGATATTCGTGTTCTTTAGGTCAGTTGGCACATTTCAGTTGAAAAGAAATGACAGGTTTTGATTTTCTTAGACTTGGAGCTTTGTGCCTTTCGACTCTCAATTTAACAAGGCAGTTAAAATGGCAGACAGGAAGATTGTCACCAAAACAATTTCCTTTACTCAATCATCGAAAGAATTTCAGGTTTCAGAAGATGAAACTTGATTTCCACAGCCTCGGGTTGCTTTTCGTTTAGAAATGTGATCAGCGGAAAAAAAATCTTGTGACTCGTTAACGTCAGTGTGATTCATATCTCCTTTTGTTTGATTTTTCTGAGTGTCGAACTCCATGCCACGCACTTGTCACACACGACCTTTAACATCCTAATCCGTGTTCATGTTTGCTCTTTGCGAAAATATTGCTGTCCGAACATGTATTTTCCTATTGTGCTGCTGGTGATGTCACACAAAATGCACAGTACCTTGATTACCTGTAAGCACGTCTTGCCTGGTAGAATCTTCGCAGAAGCTGAGATTGGGTTGAAGCGACGTCGGAATTTTTGCTGTGATATGTGTCGAGGAATTCACATTCCTTTTCAAAACAAATTCTTATCACTTATTTGAAGTGTGTCGTCAAACTGGCTGAGTTGGTCGGACGAGGTCTTTCCAAGGATATTTCAGAACGACTTGGAAAAATGCAGTACACATTTCTGATGGGAAATTCAGTCACTCTTGCTTGTGTTGTGTTAACGGGACAGGTCGGCTTTCCACTGAACTGTTCATGAATTTTTAAAGTATCTGTTCAAAACATGCAGGATGGTTGTTTCCTGGAGTTCTTTATGCAGTGTACATAGATGTTGTGATGGATGTATTACTGTAAAATCGTACCCAACCAAAGATATGAATGCCGAGGTACGCTTTTATTTTGAAGTTATTCCTGGCAGCATGTCAAGGCGCAATGGCCAACTTTAACGACAACGGTGTCTTGAAATAATGTGCACCTACTTGATGAATGGTGATAAAAACAAAAAGAAACAAAAAACGTAATTATGCTGACGCTGTATTGTACGGCGCCTGTTGCCAGCGCATAGCAGCGGCCGCACTGGTGGCTCGCGGTGCTGGCGAGAGCCGTCCGATTACTTACTCAATGACTTTGCACACTTTGATGTTGACAGCCTAGCACAATTGCCCTTCCTACTGATCACCTTTGAACAAATCAGGCCGAGTACTCAAATGTGCTGTTTTAGTCGGCAAAGTCGCTATTATCGCTGGGACATCACTGCATGAGCAAGTGGTGCGTTTACGAGCTCGGCATGCTCATTGCGACCGCTCAATAGCATCACTTAGCCAAAAAAAGCAAAACACTTCATTACACCATCACATCGGTTTCTGCAGCCTGTCATCTATATCATAAAACATTTGAGTTTAGCACCGTTTAATCATGTGCAACTGATGTATGTTCTGTCAAGTGCGATGCTGCAGCTGTTATGAGAGTGCTCAATATGTTTTGTTTTTTTTAAACCTCAAAGCAAAATTGGTGTCTGCCTTTTGAGGGAATATTTGCTTATTTGACTCACAATTTTATATATATATATATATATATATATATATATATATATATATATTAGTCTGTATTCATGTCCATCTTTTATAGTTTGCTCATGTCGATTTATTTCATTTATTTTTATTATTATTATTATTATTTTTTAATCCATCCACTTAATTTTTCCATCTCATTTCAGCCGGGCCGATCCACGTCAGCTTCCCGTCAGGCCTCACGCTGGCCGAGGTGCGGCGCAAGAATCCGCTAGTGGAGCGCGGCGGGCGCTACCGGCCGGCCAACTGCGAGGCGCGCCACCGCACGGCCGTAGTCATCCCGCACCGCCATCGCGAGCACCACCTCAGGTTCCTACTCTACTACCTGCACCCGTTCCTGCAGCGTCAGCAGCTCAACTACGCCATCTACGTCATTCACCAGGTCAGTCAGCCATTTTCTTTGGCGCTCGTCCTCATTTCCATCGCAGCTGGTACACCGTGGACTGGTGCCAGGCGCCGCTAAGTTAGCAAATGTTTTCGGTCGCCAAAAATGAGGATGGTCTACTTTAAGTCAATACGGCATTCCCTCCCGGGGCTATGCTGGTTCATTACGGTCCTTCTTATCCAAATCTGTGACGGGAAATGATGCACACTAGTGAAATAAACGGATCATATCTCTGTGGTTGTCCTCATTTCCTTCATCTAAAAACGGGACTCTGCTCTCGGGGCCTCCAATTTTGTTTTTTTTTCGTCACGTCCCTTCTTCATTTTGGGCATAAATTCCCAAATTACAGCATCTTCATAATTTGGCTCTAAAACATTGACAGTTGCGTGCCTTTTTATGGTCTCTGGCTGTCATTTTATGACTGTGTGATGATGCGTCATTGACAGATGTTGATCCACCCATAAAGTAGGGTGTTTATTTACACAACTACAGATGGGGGAGGCGCCTGTTCAAGGGTGCAAAAGACATAGGATAATTAATAACGCAACATTAACGGGATTAGAACATTCCAAGAGAGCAAATAAATAATATTTTAAAAGAACCAATGGGGAAAAAGAAACAAGACTGATTGGGAACAAATGGGCACATGTGTACATGTACAATGAGACTTCCTGTTTTGATTTTTCCATGATGGGAAAAGGGAGACGTTCGCCCACCTTCCATCCATTTTTCTGAACCACTTATCCTCACAAGAGTCGCCGCTTTTTTCATTTTCCCCAAATTCCGTTTCATTTTTATCTGCCGTGCAGGCGGGCAGCTACACATTCAACCGGGCCAAGCTGATGAACGCCGGCTTCCGCGAGGCCATGCGTGAGGAGGACTGGGACTGCCTGTTCTTCCACGACGTGGACCTCATCCCCGAGGACGATCGCAACACCTACGTGTGCGACGCAAACCCCAAGCACGCCGCCATTGCCATGGACAAGTTTGGTTACAAGTGCGTTCACACCAGTGTCACTTCTGTTGATATTGTACATGTGTCTAGGAAATATTTTTCATGACCGGGGTTGTGTTGGTTTTTTTTTCCCAGTCTTGCCAGGAAGATTCTTAACACTCCCTTCAATCATCAAGTCATGTTTTGTGTGGTATTCGCCCCGCAGGCTTCCGTATCAGATGTACTTTGGAGGAGTGTCGGCTCTCACGCCTCTCCACTACCTCAAAATGAATGGCTTCCCCAACAACTACTGGGGCTGGGGCGGCGAGGACGACGACATCGGTGTCAGGTGAGGCCTCTCGGTGACACGAGGAACGCCCTATCCTTATTTTCAAAATGAGACAATGAAGAAATGGATTCCTCGTCAAGTTGACAATCGGAGCCATAACGCGCGCGCTCTTGTCTACCCAGAGTGTCTCTGGCGGGAATGTCCATCTCGCGTCCGTCCCTGAAGGTGGGCCGCTATAAGATGATCAAACACAAGCTGGACAAAGGCAATGATGTCAACCCAAAGAGGTATGCCCAAAAAATGATCAATGTACATTCAAGGCGCTTTTTTGAACCCTTAATGATAGAGTTGTAATCCCAATGCTTGTTCTGTGTATGAAATAAGTCGAAAAGAAGTGTCTCACTTTGGCTTTACAAAATATCTTTAGAATGAAGACAAAGTGGTCCACGCAAGTTTCTTTTTATGAGTACAGAGTAGATACTTATACTCTTGGCATTTTTTTTTTTTGTGCATGAATTTAATCTTTTCATTTTAATTTTTTCATAGCTTTAATATTTTCCATTTATATTAACAATTATATGCAGTATTTAAAAATGCATTTTTTAAATGAGTTTATCTGTTGTTCAATTCATTTGACTTACATTTTTTTGCTTGTTTTTCAAAATGGAATTCTGCTAAATATTGCTCTTTTTGCGATTTCAATTTTTTTTAATGGATTTCTTTATTTCTATTGTACTTAATATTTTCTTAATTTGTTGAATTCAGAATATGTTTGCAGTTTCCTTTTTTTTAGTTTTTACTATTCCTTCTTTCATCTCTTCAGCTGGTGTTTTTATGTGCATTAAATGAACTTCTATGTGGGGCGGCACGGTGACTCCTGGTTAGCACGTCCGCCGCGCAATGTACAGATGCAGGGTTCGATTCCGGCTCCGGCCTCCCCGTATTGAGTTTGCGCATTCTCCGCGTGCCTGCGTGGGTTTTCTCTGGGTACTCCAGTTTCAACCTACATTCTAAAAACATGCGTGGCAGGTTAATGGTGAACTCTAAATTGTCACTAAGTGTGAGTGTGAGTGCGGATGGCGTCTGTGTGCTCCAGCACGCCTGCGACCCTCGTGAGGAGAAACAGATTAGAAAATCAAATGGATGGAACTTCGATGTAATCCCATCCATTCGATTGGCAAATTTCTTAGAAGCAATTTGAATTCATTTTTTTTAAATGTGATTTTTAATGCCTATTTTTTTTTTTTTTTCGATAAAATTTCGATGTATTTTTGTGTGTCCAGGTTCAACATGCTGGCCAAGACGCGTCACACTTGGAAGCTGGACGGTATGAACACGGCTGAGTATGAAGTTTTGTCCCGGGAGTACCTCCCGCTCTACACAAACATCACTGTCCACATCGGCACCGAGGCCGGGCTGAAACCGCTGCCACCACGGCCCACTGTCCCGATCTCTGCCAAGGCCTCTGTCAAGGCCGCCACTCCGAAACCTGACAAATAGCCCGTTGTCATTTTTTTTTTTTTTTTTTTTTTTTGAGAGGCCTTATTCGTCCTCGCGGACTTGGCGCATCTTTTGAAAAATATCAACTACCCCTGTCGCGTTGGACTCTGTGAGTTTATCGACGGTGCCGCCATATGCTGGCTGCTCAAACCTCCTGATGCCTTCCAATACTTGCGCAATCCTATCTTCCACTATTGATGCTCCTTCGTTTACTTCTTTTCAAGTGGGGAGGGGGTGGTGGGTGTGATGCTACTACAGTCAAAGGATATGGCCTAGTGTACACATTTTGAGAAAATGAATACTTAACAAGCATATCGTGGCACATTTTGCAGTAGTTTCATATTTCACTTCCACAGGTGGTATTTGCAGTTAATTCCACAGGCCTTCATATTTGACTTTTTGTGTTTGATGGGTAGGACACAAAGCGGCCAGGTTGCAAAAAAATTATCAGTCCAATTAAGTTATCATTAAGAAAAGGATAAATATCAATATTTTGAGCACAATTCCTTTTTTTTTTTTTTTTTTTTTTAACATTTTTATATGGATATTTAGTTAGTCTACCAAAAATAATCAAAAAGAAACCAACAAATTAGAATTATATTCATGTCAACAGCGGTGCCTGAAAAGAACTTCAATGAGTATTATAAAGTGAAAAGTAATTGCAAAAAATAATCAATAGATTAAAATTTTAGTATGCAAATAATAATGAAATAAAATACCACGCTACTCGTTCAGAACCAACACATTAAAAACTGTTTTCATCATCAGTCTCTCCAATAAAACTTCAAAAATCTAAATCAACATTTTTCATCACGAATGAAGTTACATTAGGAAATTCCTCATTTCTCTTGCGTGACACCCTTTCAACAAAAAAATCACTAACTCAAAATTAAGTCTTAGTTGGAATCATTTAATTTTTGACTTTTTTTGCCTTTCAAGAATACTTTTTTATTTTTATTTTATTTTTTACTTTTATAAACTTGAAGAAAAAAAATGTGCTTCTTCTCCCAACACGCAAAAACAAAATATTGTAATTTTTCCAAAATGCTAAGAAAATATTTTTGGATTTTCTGATTGAGGGACAAAAAAAACAACTTTTGCACCTGGCGGTGACAAATACTGCACAGCTCTCCTTCCTTTCATGCAGTAAATGTCCACCACGTTCTCTTTGTCTTTACATCCACCAAGCAGAGACATCAAACATACACGAGTGTTCTTATACAAGATCATTGTAATCTGAATATTAATCCACAATGTTGTAATCAGCGTCTCAGGAAGCCACCGACCAAAGAGAATCTGGGAGGTACGGAGTATGTATACCAGCTATTATGGAAAGTTCTTTCAGCATTTATTCTATTTCCTTGATGTCCAGCTGAAGGTCTCTTTACTCGTATGCTCATTGTCCTCACTAGTAATACAATTCATTGCAGTAATGAAACAGTCTTTATGAGTTGTTTTTTTTTTTTTTAAATGAACTTCAACTCATACCACTTTGGGCCTGTTAGTACACAATTAAACTTTTTTTTTTCCTTATCCTTGATATCCATCTTAAGTTCCATGTGCTAGGATGCTCAATGAGGCGCACTAGTAGACTACCCAAGTTGATGTTTGTGCAGTACTAGTCCTACAAGGTAAAGCCGTTTGATATCTCGGATATCCATCCTGAGGTCCATGCTCTTCTCCTTCACGAGTAACAATATAGTGCACTAGTATAAGAAGTAGGGAGTATTATTATGATGACTACATGTCACTAATGAGGTACACCAGTTGTGCTGAGAAGTCTGTGCTGCGAGTATTAGAATTGCCCTATTAGAGATGACGAGCCTCCTAGTGCATGGACCTTAAGATTGGTATGAAAAAATGCTTTCTACAACTTTTCATTCATGGGTTGTGATCAATTGATTTCGACTTGGCAGCATATTGAAGCCACTCCGCATATTAGCAGGTCAGTGCACTGTAAAAAGTGTCCGGATTTTTAGTGTAACTTTTTTTTTCTTTGTTACATTGCAGGTTAGTACTGGACCGGGGTACTGTTAGCTCTGCTCGTGTATGTGAGTGTGTGTGTGTTCAACACACTCGAGTGGCCTTAAATTGTGTAATAAATCGATTATTCAAATGCTGTATGGAGGGTGGAGTAATTATGCAACTGTTGAACAAATGTTTTATTTCACAGTTTTCACTGAAGACTCAAAGTGCTCCACAAAGTTGAAATACAATCACATTTTAGATTCAACATAAAAAAACTGTTTTATCAGCAATCTAGTTGTAATGGAATTGCCACCCCCCCCAACCCCCAAAAATGGTTTATAATTGAACATAGATGGCCTCAGTTGGTGGCAAAGCACTCTAAAAAAAAAAATATATATATATATATATATAATATAAATATACTCAAGCCAATTCAAAATTTTTGGCACCATGATGCCACAGGATGGCGCCAAAACGATTTTCAGTTTGATGTCAAACTGTCAATATGTCATGGTTCACTGTCGTTAAAAATTCCAAAAGTTGACATTAGCAAATGTAATCCTAGTATCTCTCCCTCTTGCGAGAGAGCAAGTAGCTAGCTACTAGCTTGATAGCTAGTAATTAGCTTGGCAAAAAAAAAAAAAAACAACACAGTTTTGCTCCATTTGTGCTTTTCACATACTTTTAAATTTGCATTGTATACTTAACGTATTAACTCAGCAATGACACAAAGGGCTGAAAAAGGGCATACGTGTACCCAAGAAACAAACATGAAAGAGAAATACAGTCCTGTATTGAGCAGAAATCACTCAAAATCATCTAAATTACTGAGTAAAAGTTAAAAAAAAAAAAAAAGTCTGGCAAACAGAATTTCTCTTCGCAACTATGCAAGTTTGCGACTGGTTCACAGTCACGGGTGGTAATTTGTAGTTTCAGCAAGCATGTTAGAATGCTTTCAGAAGCCATTTCCTGGTGTCCTATTACAACTGTATTAAAACATATGCTCAGGTCTGCACAGGCTAGCTTGTGTTTGCTCTCCCAAGAAGGTAAACAAACAGTCTTCTTTACAGTCAAACACTACTCACAAAAAGTTACAGGATATTGGGCTTTGGGACTGACATTTTCTGAATCAACATAAAATGCACTATAATCTTACTTTGATCTTCCCTAAATATGTCTGGAAATTTTGATGTGTCAACCGACTGTGGTGACTTCTGCCATTCAGGTCCTTGTTCGAGAAACTCAAATTGTAAAAAAGGATGAAACATTCAACAGTTGTACATTTACATTTTTAGAAGTCACATTAAGTTCAATGTTTTTTAGGCCGATACACTCAATGTGTTTATTGTGGGGTATTTTTTTTCTGCCTGAGAAAAATTCTATGAGCTGTTGTAGGTGACGTCATTATACTTAATTATTTTGCCGTCGCGCATGACCACTTCTTTCTGCGCCCACGTTTCCACCTCGCCGTTCTTCTCCTCGAAGCGGCGCACCATCACCCGGCCGGTGGCGGGCAGCTGGCACGGCAGGTCGCGGGCAGCTTCCTGGAACAAGCCCATCTTCATCATGTCCTTGGTCAACTTCATTGCATCGCCGCCACCGGCCGCGGGGACCAGCGCTTGGATCCTCTGTGGGGAGAGTGACCGGGGTTGCCTGGGGCTGCGGGGCAGAAGTTTAACTGGTATGTGAAAGAATCACTGGATTAACCTTTTAAAGTTACCTTTAACCTTTGTTTTTTTTCCAGGTATGCAGGTGTTAACTAGTTAAATTGCAATATTCCCTCTAGTGGTATGTGAAAGAATCACTGGATTAACCTCTTTAAAGTTACCTTTAACCTTTTTGTTTTTTTCAGGTATGCAGGTGTTAACTAGTTAAATTGCAATATCACAATTTACCACTAGATGGCAGAGATTCTTACAAAGGGTGTTCTGCTGCCGTATACTACAACATGAGTAGGAAGATGGTAAGAACATTTTCCATTGACTCGTTATCTACCTCGCCGCTCTTTGTTGAACGGAGATGGACCTCTTCGGCCCGGTGACGCTGACCGGTTCCTGATCCTTCTCTGCGGCGGAGTGAAGCGTCCCAGACCTCCGCCAGCCCTCCTCATGTCACTGATGATGCCCACCATGGAGGCCCTCAGGGCAGGATTGCTTTCCACCATCCGACATACGGCCTGGCAGTAGGGCTGGTCGCGCATCACCTCCCGGATCTTGGCTGGGCAGACGCTGGGCGTGTGCAGCCGAACGCGGGCGCAAAGCTCGGCGATGATCTTGCCCATGGCCCACACGTCCGAGCGCTGGTCCCGTTGGCTGTGGCGCTGCAGCACCTCGGGGGCTGAGTAGGCCTCGTTTCCCATGTCCACGGCCGAGTTGAGGCCGCGCCGGAAGAACTTGGCCAGACCCAGGTCGATGATCACGGCTCGGTTGGTGTTGTGTTCCACCTGGAGGTGGAGAAACGGTGAGTGGTGCGGGTTCTCAAAGCATCACTGTATAGTTAACTTGTATTAAATTTTAAGTTTAAAGCATTTGCATTTATTCATGAACGACTGTTTCTTTTTAAACAATTACAAACAAAATATGCAGATTTATTTTCATCGCAAGCGTGATTACTTTTCTTGGTCCAAACCTGTATTGGTTCTGTAATAATGGAATTTATTTGAGAGATGGCTCAATGCTGGGAAAAAAAAAAAACCTTAAGGCATTTTCAAGACGAGGTAACACTATATCTTTCAAAGAAAAAAAATCTGCAAATAGACCAGTTGACTACCTTAAGCCTATCAACCACCAAAATTTGCATGGGAAATAATTTCCATCTAATACTGTTTAGTCACTGCATCTTTTTTTTTTCTCGTACTGTTCATGGTTTGAAGACCTTTGAAAAAGATTTCGGGAAGATGACATCACCACAGTCGTGTTGGAGGGTTTTGTTTCTTTTGCATTAAGTTTTGAACCTTTCAATGGGTGGCATGCCTGTAACATAATCAATGACAGTGTAATAAATTACTTTTTTTTTCTGGGGAGGCGGGGGCAAAGCAGTGGTTTTGAAGATGCGAGGATTCTGCCTGTCAGCGATATTTTGTGACTTGCTTGAAACTGCCTAATGACTCACAAGACTGTCGAATATGATTGCGGTTGGAATGGATGGTTCTCATTTGATTAACCCTTTCATGCACCAATAATGATAACATGTCACCTGATAACATAAGCTGTCCACTGTAGTAACCGCAAGCCATGTTTAGTGAACTGTGCATGATTTGATTTAAATCAACTCAGAAGTATTCTTGAAGCTACTACTGTGTATTTCTCTTCCTTTATTGTATGCTTGTTCCTTTTTACAATAATCTTAAATCATTCAGATCATCTAGGTAGCCTACACTATCTCAACCGTCAGTCATTTTAACACTTAACGCGTGTACCCACCATGATGTTTTCAGGCTTGAGATCTTGATGGACAATATCTTTAGAGTGGAGGTGCAGAAGCCCCTCACACATGCCCAAAATGATTTTGCCTCTATTCGTTGGAGTCAGCTGTAAAATAAACAAACAAAAAAAATCATGAAAAGGCTGAAACGTTTCAAACAGGTGTCAATTCCAAAACCGGCTTTTCCTCCCTCAGGCGTGAATGAATTTGCATTGTGTGGAATTAGCATGGTGCAGTCAAAAACAAAACTTCGTTGTCTTCTTTTCCTTTTGGTTTTTCCCTTCAAATCAAAAACTAAACTTCTGAGGACTAATAATTAGATCAAGGAGGTTAAAGTATGGTCTGAGGGCTACACACGGCCCGCTCTTTTCTTTAATTCAGTCCACCAGACAAGAGACCTGTAATATTAGTTGCGTCTCTTGAACTGGATGGCGCCAGTTGGTTCCCTTGCTCACCTGTATTTTGGATTTTGCTGACTTAAAAATGGTAGTTTCCAGGTCCTCTCCGAAGATGAACTCCAGTGGAATAATCCATTTGCCGTCTTTCAGGTTGATGTTGCCCAGCAGTCTGACGATATTTGGGTGATTGGCTTTGCTATGAAAAAATGCAACGAAAACAGACATATGACGACAAAATCACTTTATGATTTGTTTTTATTGGTTTGCAATGGTGTGAAACGACTGCTTGTGAGCCTGTTTCCTTGGCTGTCCAAGGGTGAGTGGTTTGAATTTCCTGCACAATAGTTTACTTAGCCTAATACCCACTTGTACACTTCGCACTCTCTCTCCAGGTCCTTCCTGCTGATGAGGTGCTGAGGAACCTTCTTGATGGCCGCCCAGGTGTCGTTGTACTTCTCTCGGTAAACCTTGCCGAAGCAGCCTTGTGCCAGAGTTCCGGTGGAGTACGCCATCCAGGCTACCTTTGTCAGCGGTAATGGCTGCCAGTATTCACACACACAGTTCATATCATTAGGTACATCTGCAAGACCTTTTGAGATCCAAAATAATGGGATATCAAGCAAAACTGTCTCCACTGTTTGTAAAGTTTACTTAACGGACAAACATGGTCAGTGTGGAGAACTACTGATAATTCTCTGGGTACAGGAAATGGAGAAATGTAGTGGATCTAATATTGAGCCTTGAGGCACACCTCTTGAATGTTATAAACTTGAGTCCCTCTTGCAGACTATTTTTTTTTTAATCTTTCCCAGAATGCAGATTTGGGAGTGTCTGGATCATGACCCCTAAAATTTTTACTTTTGCCTGTGTGAAAGAGTCTTGATTCTGATCTGTTCTTTCAAGGAAATGCAGCAATGCGAATTCATCAAAATGCATCTGCTCATCAAGACTAAAAGCGAACAGCGTGTGATGAAATGAGTGTAAATAAGCATTCCTGGTTGGGGAGCGCCACTGTCATCGACGAACGTCGCTTGCTCTTTTCCACCTTTTCTCCGGGATCATAAAAAAAGACAATTTTCCCCCTGCCTTTGAATGTAAGACATTCGACTTCGATTTGAACGTGTGTTAACCAAAATGGGCATGGTCAGATTACAAAGAAAACACTCTCAAACCGGAAAAACCACCAGCAATTACAAAATATGCTAAATATAACCTGCATGTTAAGAATGAATAAAATTGGGATAAATTATCTATCAAGTCAACATTCCGCTGGTGTAACGTAAACATAGATTCGGTCTTCTTACCGTTGAGGCAGAGTGGAGGCATCAGGTCTGAACACGAATCGACATAGCTCTTTTATCATACTTGCTTGGCTTCGTACCACGCCTCCCTCGAGGCGGGCGGGCGGGCCTGTCCCGGCCTGACTGACTTTCTGACAACCGTATAAAAGTCTACTTCAGGCATGTCCAGCTCCGGGCCTGGAAGGCCGCCGTCCTGCCTGTTTTCCAGCTCTCCCGGCTGCAACACACCTGATTCAGATGATCGGCCAGCTGTGAAGCAGCATTCGAACGACACTGATTATTTGAATCAGGTGTGTTGCTCCTGAGAGAGCTCGAAAACAGGGAAGATAGTGGCCCATGAGGACCGACTTTGGACATCCCTGGTCTATTTATAACAAATTGAACAGGGCATAAACAGGCCCAAGTGTCATTAAAGCTCATAGCCCCAAAATTAATTTGCGTGTGGGCATTTTCTGCACTGTCAATTTGAAATAATGTCCCATTATTGAACAGAGGGGTGGAAATAAACTTTTTCTTTTGTAATTCATTTCATTTAATTCACTCTCAGAGCACTGTAAATATTGACACCTCGTCTGCTACATCTTGTTTCTCTGATCAGTTGTTTTTCCTCAGGCATGAGGGGTTCTTAATCTAATTACAGGTAAAAGATGGAGGTAGAAAGGGATGATTTGTTTTCCTCACCTGATCGAACATTTATTGGGTTTAGACTGGGCGTTTTAGCAAATGAAACAAAATGAGATTTTGTTTTTAAAACTCCCTCTTAAATTTAAGGAAATGATCCCCTGGTTTCTGTCTGACTAATTTACTTCCACTGTAGGTCAGCAAATACCAATGTGGTGACTGTCAGTTTCATTGCATTCTGTGGTACTTTAAGGAAATGTGTACTTCAAATATCCATCCATTTATCCATTTTCTAATCCCCTTATCCTCACAAGGGTCGCTGGCAAACTGGAGCCTATCCCAGCTGTCTTCGGACAGCAGGTGGGGTACAACCTGAATTGGTTGCCAGCCAATCGCAGGGCAGACATAGATGAACGACCATTCGAGCTCACACTCATAACTAGGAAAAATTTAGTGTTCCATTGATCAGCAACGCATGATTTTGGAATGTGGGAGGAAACCGGAGTACCCAGAGAAAACCCACGCAGGTACAGGGAGAACATGTAAAAACTCCACATAAGAAGGCCGGGAAGAGAGAGAGAGAGAGAGAGAGAGAGAGAGAAAAAAGAGAAGAGGAGGAGAAGAGAGGGAGAGAGAGAGAGAGAGAGAGAGAGAGATATATATGGTTTTTTTTTCGTTCAACGACCCATTCTCCCAGGAACTACCTTTAAAGTACATGTAAAGTATGAACTGTCAACTATTATCATTATCTTCAACTAATGTGAATAGTTTCGAAAAACATGCTCGAATTTTCATAGAAACTCCGAGAGGCTGTTGAACATTAATGAACACCTTATCGCCAAATGGCACGTACCACTTATAGAGGTAGGGGAGAGCAACTCGGTTTAGTGTCCATTTACGTCCGTATTTAGAACATGGTGTTGCTTAACCAATGACTTTGTATTTTATATTATTATACTTATGTTCTTATTTGTTTAGTATTCCTTTAAATTAGTCGTCGCTTTCCAGAAAATACGTTTAAATCACGTGTCCTCCCCTCCGTGTTTCGCAACATGTCTGAACTTACACCTGCGTGGTGCGTTCAGGTACTTACCTCCTTAGCGAAACTCGGGACGTCACAAAATGGGATTGACGCTCCGGTCTAAAGGGAAAGTTTACGGTTAGAGCACTATGTAAATTAGTTGTTCTGATAAAGTTGTGATTAACAAACAAGATTCAACGAGTGATTCGCGGAGGGCGGCGGCGGAATGAAGATATTTTGGGTGTTATTTATCGCCGCGACTCTGGCGACAGGTAAGAAAGAGTTTTCGCGTCGACTGGGTGGGCCCGCTTCCGCCTCAGACGGTGGACATGTTCTTTCTACTCACATTGTTTTTTTTGTCCAATTTGGATACATTAACTGCGTTTTAATGACCGTTTGTGGTGTTTTCAATCCAGATAACGAGAGGTTTCAAGGAGCTTCATTTGTCCCTTGAAGTATTGCGTTCATCTAAGAAAAAAAAAAAAGGCAGCGGATTCATTTTGGGTGTACAAAATGGCGCACATATCTTAATTCGGTTGTAAAACAACCGATTGCCCATCATGTCAGTTGAAGCCCACACCGACTTTTTTTACTTATTGTGGTATTAGTGGTTTATTTCTTGCAGGTATATCGTACCTACTGTCAGCTCTCAATCTACGGTAATACATCACCAATTTGAAAAAACAGGGTGTCCTACCAAGTCTCTTCACAATAAAATAATGGAACTAAAGTAATTCTTGAGATGTTATTCACATTTGTTGTTGTCAATTTTTTAATCATCTTTCATTCATGTATGTAAGCACCCTGTTGATGAAATAGGTTCAGTTATAGAGACACTCCATGATTCATTTATCAACATCCTCAATATTGACTTAGAGTAGTTGCTGCTGTAGAGTGACACCTACAAAGTCGATCTTGATAAATTTGGGTTTACCAATGATATCAATAAACCACATCACTTAATGGATCTTAATATGAACATTCTGTGTAAAATGAATCCTGTCACATCTCTCTTCATAGTTGCCATATTTCTTCCAAAATGGATTTTAATCAAACTGGGGACAATGGGCTTTTCTAACCAATTTTTGGGGGGTGCTGGAGCCCCCCTAAATTGAAGACCAGCACCACTAAAATTTAAGAATTTTTTTTTTGTCTGTCCTTTTTAATTAAACAAGCGAGAGAAATGCGTGACCATGCAGAATTTTGTTGGAACTTAATATTTTAACAGCAATGCCCTCTCTCTTCTGAAATGGTTTGATCCACCTATTTGCAGTGATATTCAGACACTACATTCGTGTTGTAAACCAAACCAGGATATGTAGAACGTTTCTGACCTTCTACCACCTTCCCAACATGGTATCATCATCACCAGTCCTAATTTAATTGTAGCTCCTTGTTTATGTTGTTAGGTAGCAGTTAGCTGACTTTTTTTTTTTTTATTGCTAGGATACATTTTAGGTGGTCAGAGACAGCAACTTCAGAATGATTTAGTGCTGATACGTCGGCGCGCCACCAAAGTGCTTTAATTGTCTTGGGCTCTCGCTTATTTTCTACACTCAGGGCTCTCCATCTGTTAGTTAATAGAAGCAGGAAGCCAACTTGCTAATGAGTAATATGTCTCCATTAAGCGTAATTACTCTCGAGTACGAAGGGATGACAAAGTAGGTGACTCATCAATGGCTCATGGTGATACTAGTCATGAAGAACTCAACACCACGTGACATTTGAAGGTGGACGCTTTTGACTTGATTCAGGCCGCCTCGGGCTCTAAAACCTCTGACATTGGAAAAATTATTGCTTGAACAGCACTGCACTGACGTTTTTTTAACTACAATTCTGCTATTACGCCCATGTGACTATTAAACTATTATTTAATGTAATCTTTTGTGTTTAGTATCATCTATGATTAAGAGAACGAAAATGAAAAACAGCAACAAAAGGCATCTGAATAAGTCACATTGAAAGTTTTTGTATCAGACCGTGGTGGGAGCACCATACACGTTTATCACTTCCCTGCAAACCGTTTGTATCCTTTTTACTTCATGTCATTCTAGAGTCAGCCCTGGCCGTGTCGGTGAGCAGCCCGGTGAAGCGCTATGTGGTCATCCTGTTCCAGCCCGTCACGCTCACCTGCAACTTCCAGACCACCGCCTCGCAGCCGCCGGTGGTCACGTGGCGCTACAAGTCGTACTGCCGCGACCCGGTGCAGGCGGCGCTCAACCCCAGCAGCGCCGACAACATCCTGTCGCAGAATAACCCCAACTACGACCCCAACATCGAGTGCGCCGACAGCCAGCGCACGGTGCGCATCGTGGCCTCCAAGCAGGGCAGTGCCGTGACGTTGGGCAGCGAGTACCAAGGACGCAAGATCAGCATCATCAACAGTGAGTGCGAGACGCAACACATTCTTCTTTCAGCAGGTGCAATGACATACTGAACAAAATGTTGATAATGGAATTCTATTGTTCCTTATTAAGCGTGAAGCAAAAATGTTTTGCATTGGCCTAATAATAAACATTAAAAAATAACCTGCAGTTTAATTATGGTGGGGAAAAAAATTCCGTCTTCAGATTTCATATTTCATTTTTTTAGATTTACGTGAACATGGATTTTTTTTTCCCTAAAATTATTAAATTCCCCGAAGAGACAACAGGTCGACGGCAGTGCATTTTTCTGATCCTATGAACCTCCAACAGTCACGTTTGCCAGAAGCGTCCTCGCTTTGTCTGCCACTAGCTAACATGTGTTTTCCTCAACTTCTTTTCTTGTGTTCTCACTGCCAGATGCTGACCTGAACATTGCACAGACGGCGTGGGGCGACAGCGGGGTCTACGTGTGCTCTGTCATCTCCTCGCAGGACCTCTCAGGCAATGGCGAGGACTACACCGAGCTCATTGTCTTGGGTAAACGCCAATCAACTGCTTCTTACTACTGGCCTTCTCTTCCCTTTGCTGTACCCCGACCAAAATACACTAATAGGAGAAAAGGTGTGAGCCGCGTCAATTAATCGATCAGGTTCGCAGAAACTCAGAAAACGTCCGGATTTACGGATAAAAGTAGAGCAAATATTGATGGATTTGGCCATGCGTCGCCGTCGTCGTGTTTTACAGCTAAAACGCAGCGTGGGCAGGTGTGATCCGACCAAAATACACTCATAGGAGAAAAGGTGTGAGCCGCGTCAATTAATCGATCAGGTTCGCAGAAACTCAGAAAGCGTCTGGATTTACGGATAAAAGTAGAGCAAATGTTGATGGATTTGGCCATGCGTCGTCGTCGTATTTTACAGCTAAAACGCAGCGTGGGCAGGTGTGATCGTCCCAAGAGCGCACACGATCTAGTAATTGTGGCTTTATCTTTCTTTCGCAGAGAGAAAGTCAGATACTACTGACCTGCTGCCCGGCATTGACTTACTGGTTATGGAAGGTAGTACAAAAGCCCTCTTAGTGTGACTGGTTTGAGTGCTACTAGATCCTCAGTCAAAAGTAACGCCTCAGTTGACGATAAAATATCTTAAATCAGTCTTTTAAAAATGAGGAACAAAAAAACTGTTGACACAGAAGTAGGATTTTGTGATCGTAAACGGTCTCAAATGCCAACGTGAAGTAACATTCTTTTTAAAAAAATAAAAAGAATTTATAGACCGACTCATGGTAACATCGTGCAATCACGACAGCGGAGGGAACAAAACAGTGATGTGGTTTTAATCGGCATTGCTAACAGGAGATCCATGTCATTTATATACGGTGCTAACTTTGGACAACATGGGACCTTGGGCACAGAGTTGAAATTGGGCTTGAATTAAATTTCAAATGTAAGTTAAAAAAAAAAGTCTGGGAATAAAAAGGCTTAATATTTGATTGAACTTGGCTTCAGCTGGAGGAACCACGATGTCCTTCCTATGTTATGGAAACAAAGTAAGGTTAGCAAAGGAAGTTTTATCAACATGTTCAAATGATTTCCGTGACCGAGTGCATTTTTTTTCTTTTACTGAGAACAAGGCCAAAATGCGTGTCGCAAAATACCCGTTTGTCTTCTGATCAGTCATCTTTTTTTTTCAATCTTTCCGCAATCGTCTATTTCATCTTTCTGAAACGATGCCGTAACGCTCTGTAGCGTTTCTTTTCCCCGCTTTATTTTGTTTATCTTTGCAGCGCTCTAGTTGTGTCATGCCTCACATAAACAGGCTCAGCCAGTTTGCCAGGAGAAATGTTGTTTATCTCAGGTTGGATAGCAGACGTTTGACAATTAGCCTTGTGGTTCTTGGGACGCAAAAATGCTACATGTTTGCCTCTGCCAAGCACAGCAAAGTATGATGTAGTAGGTCATGTGTTTTTCATAAACTGCAAGGGCGGTGTTGGATTTCCTCAAATAGGAGCTGTCCCTCTAATACGCGGCTTGATACAGTTTGTCACAATGTTTGCTGTCCACTTCAGAAAAATGAACACCAACCATAGCCGATACAGGTGTTCAGGAGGTAATACACAGAAGCTTCTTTTTATGAAAAAAAAAAAATAATTCACTCACTTGGGGGTGGGGGCCACAAACAAACTGAATCCAGAAGGAAGCGATGTTGTCATAATGTATCATTTCAGTTTTCCTCAAAAGGTTTCTTTTGTAACCGAAGTACCATGTGTTACTGGCAAGACTGTTCGGAAAAACATGCAGCTGGATATGAAAATGTCAGTAATAAGTTGTTACTCTCAAAAGTATCAGAGTAAATGAAACATTTGCCATGTTCAAGAAAGGTCGCTGGCATGCTGGAGCCTATCCCAGCTGTAATCGGGCAGGAGGCGGGGCGACACCCTGAACTGGGAGCCAGCCACTTGTATCCATTTCTCTATCAATGTCCTTTTTTTTTGTTCCAAACTGCAGTTTCACTTGACATAAATGGTCATAATGGTTCCTATTTAGCGAATAATCATGATTCCCATGTATTTACTTATTATTATTATTATTTTTAATGTCCAGATTGGCTGCTGGTGGTGGTCGTGGTGTTGGGCTTTCTGCTGCTGCTGATGCTGATCGGCATCTGCTGGTGTCAGTGTTGTCCGCACACGTGCTGCTGCTACGTCAGCTGCCCCTGCTGCCCCGACCGATGCTGCTGCCCGCGGGCACGTGAGTACTTGGCAAAATGGACTTTTCATTTGCTTGAATACAAATAGTTGGGGCGGTATTTGTGTAACTGAAAAAAGGCAATTCACCATCTTGGTGAAAAATAAGAGTGCTGTGGTTCCACAAGGGGAAAAAATACAACCCATGCTTTCAGGGTAGGACATGATCGATGACATTAGTTGATCATGACGTCTCTCTGGTGCCGCAGTGTATGAGGCGGGTAAGGCGGTGAAGAAGGGCATGGCCAACCAGTACGCCACCACCGTGTACGCACCCAGCATGTACGCCCAGCCGGCCTACAGCGGGCCGCTCGTCCACCAGCCCGCCATGCCGCTGCTCCCTCTGCCCAACGGCGTCGGCGTCCCGCCCTCACAGAACGGCTACGGGCGCGAGTTCGACGGCGCTAGCTCCGGTGAGGGGGTGGGGGGGACATAATATATAAAGTCATTTCCAGTTCGTGTTTAATTTAATTTGGAATTTTATTGTTTGCATGCAGTTGGTCATGGTTCCCAAGTGCCTCTGCTGCACGACCAAGACGGCGGCGGTGGCGACCATAGTAAGTCAACAGAAAGACGATGTGAATAGTTCATTTCAAAGATGCCAAAAAGTTGTGTGTGTATTGTTTCAATTCCTGTTTTTTTTTCTGGAAATACTGTCGGCTATTTTTCATTTCCTCAACAAATGTTGTCAACTCCAGCTCGGAGCGGCTATCGCATCCAGGTGGACCCTGAAGGCAACGCCACGCGTGCCATTTACTACATGGAGCGAGAGCTCGCCAACCTGGACCCGTCCAGACCCGCCAACCACCATCGCTGTGAGTCACCCGCCATGCACACATTAATTGCAAGATGGATGACTCGGATGTTTATACATGTTTATATTTACATGTCTTTGCATCACGTTGGGATGTACAATAAATACTGAAGATATACTGAAACAATTAGTCGAATGACTCGCATAATTCAATTAGGAAAAAAAAGGGACGCAAGCAAGCTTCGTAGGGATCATTTTTTTTCCACATGCACTAACATTATACAACACCAAGTCTACGGTCTCATCCGCTGACTCCCACGTCACTGACTAGGCCAGGCCTCACCTTTTAATGGTGTATGCAGTCACAGATATTTTAGTGTGGAATGTGAGGATGGAAAAACCAAGTTGATAACAATAATACAATACCTAACTTGCATATTTTGTTTATTGGTGCAAAATCATTTTTTTATCCGATTAATCGATGGAATAATGCTGCATCCGAAATATAAAAAATGCATCTCGTCAAATGTTGGCTCTCGAGAGGATGTGAACCTAGTGTGTGTAGGTTTCAAGTTAATTTTTTGTGGCCTGTTCTCAGTGGACAACGTGAGCGAGGTGACTTCGCTGCACGACAACGCCGACCCACGATCCCGCGGCGGTCGCCCGCAACCGCCAGCATTGTCCACCGTGTACGACGACGACGAGGGCATGAGCACCATCAGCAGCGTGTCACAACACGTGCACCGCCGCCCGAATGAGCCGGCGCGCCGAGGCTACATGGGTGACCGGGCCCGGGCCCGCTCCATGGAAAACCTGGACGACATCGGACGCCGCTATGGCCGCGACGACTACCCGCCGCACCGACGTCCGGATGAGCACCGAGGCAGGAGAGGGTGAGTCACCGCTCTTGAAATGTGATCAATTTGATTTTAATCATTCCCCGCATCCTCACCGCTTGATTTCATAGAAAATTCATATGACACTGTGAACTTATTCAAAATGAGCTTTACTTTTTAATGTTTGTGGGGTTTCTGCTGATTTCCCCAAAATGTAACTAAAGAAGCCACAAACAAAAAAACCAATCACGAATGATACATTAAATCGATGAACTTATTCAGTGAATCGTGAATGACATGCTAAAACTAACCAATCTTCAGCTCTGACGACGAGTGGAGCAGCAGCGGTCGCGCTGGCTATGACCGAGACGACCGCAGACGCCGCGACTACTCCCCGGATGACAACCGAAGAGGGGCAGGCGGAGGAGGGTATGGCGCCCTTCCAGGGCGGCGAAGCCGCAGTCGCGACGATCTGATGGACCTGGAGAGGGACCGGCGACCGGGCGGCGGCCGCGACAGAAGAGACGACTACGACGACAGCTTCCTGAGAGAGGCCATGGAGAGGAAGAGGCTGGGGGAGCAGCAGAGGGCTCGCAGCCGAGACCGACTGGAGAGTGACGGGGAGCGTTCTGACCGAGGCAGGGCCCCGCCCCCCCGGGGACCCCCGCCGCTGCCTCTGAACCCGCCTTCGGGACCTAGCGCTCTACCGCCGCCCTACAGCGACGACGAGAGCATGACGTCGTCTAAGAAAAGCAACCTGCGCAAGGTGAGGAACAGCTCTGACAGCCCCAACAAAATTTAGTCAGTAGCACCCCACGTTGGAAAGTTAAAAAAAAAAAAGGCTTGCAGTTGACTTCCATTGGCACAATATTGAGGGGACATGTCTATCATAAGAGGACCCCGAAATAACTCTCAAGGACCCCCTGTCCCAAGTCAGCCATTTTGGTTTCAAGCAACCATTTTGTGTGAATTCCAGAGCTCCTCTTTCAGATTTTGCCATGTAAAAGGTGTTCATTTTTGGACAATGTTTATGGTTTTATCGCAAATTTTTTTTTTTCTCCCCTTCCTTCCAGAATGGAGCTGTGAGCCGAGAGAGCCTGGTGGTGTGAGACACCCACAACAGGAAGCACCGCTGTCCCCCCCAAAAAACAAGTAAATGTTGAGATTGTACAGTTTTTATTTCACTAATTTGCTATCTTGAATCTTTTTTTTTTAACTTGCCTTCGAAACCTTGTCGCAAATTGAATATAAATGTATATGAGTGTGTGAGAGATGCACAAAGTGTAATTTTATGTGCTTTATGAAACATTGTGGCTACCACAAGTGCCTTCAACTGTACAAAAGTGTAGATGTTGGTTTTACTCACATGGTTTTATTTAGTTGCAATATCAATTTAGAGGGATTTTTAGCATACATTTTTGAGAACTTTTTTTATATGTACTTTGCTACTTTCTATATGAATTTTTCAATTTTAAAAACATGTACAGCTGACCTTGTAAATGTTCATCACGTGATGGAAAAAAACGTCTTTCACAAATAAAACCTCTGTCCCGCTCGGCCATTTATGCTTGGTGGCATTTTCAACCACTAGAGGGCGCCATCACCGTACTCTATTGTATACTTGGCTTTATTGTCACCTCTAAGGACATTTTCTTGTAGAATACTCCCAACAAATCAAATAAAAAATATAAATTGTGTAAATATAATGTGCATTTTATATTATTTGTACTTAAAAAATCTGTTTTATGTCAACATTTTACATCCCTTATTTTTGAATAACATGGCCCATCCATCTATTTTCCAGTGTCAAACGTGGCTCCTGAGCTGAAAAGATTTTCTTCCCCAAAGGATAAACTCTCACTGTGTTTTGCATAGTTTTCGGCTTTTTATGCGTTTGATGAATGGTACCAGTTAGCATAGCAAAGAGGGATCAAAATGAAGGGAATTGCCTCCCAGGTTGCTCATTTCAATTTTACTGTACAACAGTTAACTTTTTCCCAGCAATTGTATGATGTTTTAGAATTTTGCACAAAAAAAAAAAGTTTGAAATTGACCAGCATGCCATGCTAATACGATAAGCTGTGTGTGTAGCTTGAGTTTATTTTAGTATTTGTTTGTCCCGTTCTGCAGCTGTCCACTCATTTTCACACTTGTTTGACAGTGGCACTGGGGAACAGCCATAAAATGAAATTTTATTTACCAAGAAAAAAATAATTTTGCGTTTTAATCAATTTCCCGCTTATCTTTATGGAGAAACCATACGACAATGACATTTAATGTAAGTAACCATTTTTTCCCCCCACCAACATTAACTTACATCAACAATGTTTGTCATTTGCGTCATGTTTTACTCAACCTAAGTTCTTTTTATGCTTGTACAGTATGATGGTTAAGATTTTTCTTGTCTTCTAAAAAGTATGATGGCTGAAGTTGACTTCAACATGTCATTAATGAGGTAAGTCATTTTAGTTGACTTTTCTCTTTTACTGTACAGCACCATCTTCACACTTAGACAGTATTTACTTGAAGCCTTGAATGCCTACAGGAGGGTTATTTATACTCTCAAAAATGTCCAAAATTGTTTAGCAATGTCCTCATCGACATGAGATGTAGATTATCAGTCTTCTGTAGCTTGTCATTAAAAATGCAGCATTTTGAGTTGAAAACTGTGAGTAGGGCGTTTTAAAGGGGCGGACCAGATGACGTCACGTTGAGAGAGAGTGAGAGGATGATGAAGAGGAGGACGCTGTCTCGCACCCATCAATCCATCACTTCTGGCTAATGAGGTAAGAGCTCTCATCTATTATATGTACAATCATCTGTGAAAAGCTTATTTTTTAGGGGGGGTGGTGCATGTTGAGAGTTTGCAATAACTTAGTTCTGATTAAATGTTAAATACTGGTCGTGATGTCATTTTAATACATCTCGATTCATATGGCACTTTCACAACAGCAAAGTGCACTCTAGATTTTACAAAAATTCACAAAAGTAATACAACAGAACACAACCTCAAACGTGGACAATAATACAATCATGACAACTATTCAACCATATATGTTGTTGTGAGAAGCAGTTATAGACGAAAGAGGAGAGAAACAAAGTCTCCTTTCACCAGTGAATCAGAGATGTCACAGTCTCAGCGTGCGTGACGTCACACATATCTGCTACAAGCTAAGTTTATACAATACGATAGTTTTCCCTCTAATGGCGCTTTCCAGACTTTTTAACATATGTCGAATACAGGGGCTACTTCGGTTCTCCTGTCCCATCTAGAGCCGCTTCAATTTCAAGCGCGGACGCTCGCTTCCAAATGCACATTATCTGCTCCGCACCGACGCTGCTCTCTCCTCATCCTCAGCTTCACCAGCCAACTATCCAGCCGCACCAACGCAAGGCTGTCCAACAGCCCCGACATCTCCGCTGAACAAATTGGGGCTGTGAAAAACGTTGTCCACCACACGCGCAAAAAACACTTGCGCCCCCGTGGCTGTCAAGCGGCAACAACTCAAATAGCGCCCCAAAATGCTAAGAACAGTCCACACGAAGGACAACAAACACCATTTGACAAATCAAAAGGCAAAAACAACAACAACAACAAAAAAACAGAGCTCTTGCAGACAGTTGCCAACTCGGCGCTGTCTTGAAGATTATATATACGATTTATAAATGTTATTGTCATGGTTGGTTGTGTACTGTGAGATTATATGTCAAATATTTGGACAGTGCAAAGGTGGGTTGTGGTCAAAGTGGGACATAAAGATGTTTTGGAGGAGGAAAAAAAATTGTTGCGCTGTTGTAGAGGAACCCAATTTCTCATTAATATTCTATAAATGTCGGAGCCATTCGAGTTTTTTTTTTTTTTTTTATGAATTAAACCATTTGAAATTATGCATTATTATTCAAGTAAATGTAGTATTTATTTTTTTCGTAAAAAATATATATAACCCACAATATTACAGAACCAAATTGACTTAGTTAATTCATCAGAAGATTTAAATCTTTAATTTCTTGTTTTTGGCCGGGGGGGGGGGGCGGCATAGTTTTATGAAACAAAACGATGTGATTATGAAAAAAAAAAATACAGCAGTTTTTTTTAATTTTCACTTATCAAAAGCTCTTGCATTATGGTCAGCTCTCCCTAGGTTGACCACCCCCACACTTGTGGAAAACAGATTCTTCCACACTTGAAAGGGCAAACATTTTTTTTTTCTCCAATGTGACATTCTTCTTGTTTTCTTCCAACATTTTTCTCTTGTCAACTGGCGTCTATCCATACATGGCTCGAGTCTGGTCAAGTGTCCAGACACACAATGGGTCCTTTCTTAGTGTTTCGTTTTGTGCACTCAGCCCCATCGTGCTCCAACATGGCTCCAAGTGAGTTTGTACACCAAAGGTCCATTTCAAAAATTGAAATCCATAGAGAAACTGTGATCCTTAACATATAACGTTATTGACAAAAGAAGACGTCTCACCATCTGAGTGTTCACGTATTGTTTTATCACTTTTGAGCCCAAAGGCTATGTGCTAAAGTGTTAATGGTGATCAAGAGGTGAGAGGCAGAAAGAGAAAAAGGGAATTGTTTGACTGGTGTTCTGTGCGTCCACTTTCCGGCGTTGTGCCGTGTCAGGCAGGCTTGAGTCCCAGAAAGGACAAAGGCTGCTATAGTGTGTTTCGTACAGTTTTGGAAGTCCTGACGCCCACTTGGGAGTGAAGGTTGATTGATTTATTTTTATTGAATTTGCTGTAAGACGTGGTGTAGACTACAAAATGAGTAAGCCAACAACAATAAGTAAAAAAAGAATTAGGTGTAAAGTATATGAGGTGATGCACAATACGAAAGTAGTAGGCCCCCCAAAACATGTAAGGAAAGAGGAATTGACGCAACTTGTTGCTTCTACTAGAAGCTAGGCGAACTCATAGCTTGGAAACCATTCGCCTAATTGCATAGTTGCCCAAGTAATGTTTTTATGTTTTCGGGGAAAAAAAGTTCACAAAAGTAAAAAACAATCCAAACTAAAACACCGGCGTTACCCTGATCACTAGAACAAACAACTCACATTCTTTAATGTAAAATGTTACACAGCACCACATCGCTTGGAGGAATCCATCATTGAGCTGAACAAATAAAGTGCCTTGCTGTTTCAAGAGGCAACCTAGTGCCGACTTAGCACACCGTACTCGGTTATCGGACTTGTATATTCATAAAATTCAGGTTATGAAAATTAAACATTTTTCCTCCCCCCAAGATGTTAACTTCAGATATTTTCGTGGCTCCTTAAAACAGATCTTTCAAGAAAAAAAACATTGATGTCAGTCCGTAATTATCACTTTGGTGCGCAGGCGCCCTCTAGTGGTACGTTTGAATCCACTCATCCATCCACTTTGTTCAAACTGCATAATACAGTTTCTTACACATTTTTTTTAAAAACAGTACATATGTAAATACATTTTACGTGCATTTAACTTGTATTTCACATTCGTCTTTTACAATAAAGTTACCCCCCCCCCACACCCCTTTAAATGTTTTCTTGGCTTCACTAGGTCTCTCAAGGAAATTGAGCAGGTAGCAAAACAAACAGTGAAGTGCCTTGGTGGAGGTATTAACAGGACAACGGAATGTAACGTAGCATTAGCACATTGTAGGCAAAAGGAAAGGAACAGTGTTCCCTTTGTGGCGAATGGCAAAGGCTCGGGGCGAACAATGCTGCCATACTGAAGGAGTGATTGTCATACAGTGAGAGGGGGCGCCGGGGGTAGGGGGTCTTAGTGGTGGGGGGTGCGGATGGCGGTGGGGTCGTGGAGGGCCACCCTGGGGCTTGGTACAGAGAGTGGCGACTAGCTTCTTCGCGTGCCACTGTGACGGGGAAAGCAGCTGGCAGGTCCGCCTACACAGGTACCCATCTTCCATTTAAGTCTGCACGCGGTGTAGCAGCATGAGGCTCATTAGCTGTGTATGCTAGGCGGCACGTAGGCGTAAATAATGACTTGCTCTGGTGTTCGTGTGACGGCAACTGCAATGCTGGTCAGATTTTGTGTATGCTCTCCTCTTCCTTGAAAAGATTACATTAGAACTCTTTTACAGTGTTTATACTGTATACCGGTAAGCGATATTAAAAAAAAAAAAAAAATCTATCGCCACAACCTTATAATTTATTTGACGTGTTAACAGCAGGTAGTAGCATTGATTGAATTTGTTCGGACTTTAAACAAAGGCTGGGTCAAAACATTTTGTCAAAAAGTTAGCTGCACTTTTGATTAAAAAAACAAACCAAAAAAAAAGCTTTCATTAAAATGACTTAAAGATCAACCGTTGGACAATTCTGGACGATCACACATGAAATCTGCCTTTAGCTCAGGAAAAAATACAACAAAAACTAAAAAACTCAAAAAAAAAAGTCTAAAAAGACTCTAAAAAAAGTCTAAAAAGAAAGTGTGCATGTTCTTAGCTAAGGAAAAAATACAACAAAAACTAAAATGACTCTAAAAAAAGTCTAAAAAGAAAGTGTGCATGTTTTAACTTCAGAAATAAGTTGTCAAACACAAGACGGTTGTCACTTGTTA